CCAGCAGCGGCCAGCAGGTAGTCTAGCAGCAGCCAGCTCTCCCTCAGCCAAGATTGGTCACCCCCAGGAGATCCAGAGCTATGCTTCACCATTTCCTACAGGGATTCAAACACAGCTACTGTCTGTTCTCCCCATCCTACTGTTCAGGTGGGGAAACTAAGACTGAAGGTATATGAATAGCTCAGAGCTGGCTCTGCTAGTCCCAGCTGGTTCTGTTCTATACCGTCCTGGCTGGTAAGCCAGCCAGTGGACAAGCCCCTCACAGCCACTGGTTCCATGAAGGACATAAGATGTGATGTCCAGATGATGTCCAGCTGTAGCAGATGTGTCTGTGGAGTTGGCATCTCCAGGAATTGAGAGGCAAGTAGAGCACAGATTCCTCCTACAACCGAGGAGGCAGGGCAGAAGTGCATGGACAGGCAGACAGATACACACACACCCAGAGTCCCAGAGCAGTCATCAGGGCAGGGATAGGGCCTTGGCAAGGCGAGTCCAGAACCAAGATTTGGTGCAGGGATTGGTATAGTCACAGACAGTGATGAACCTCAGGATGCTGGGGAACTCCTTGTTCATTGCCTTGTACTTGATGGGGATCAGTCGCTTCTGGTGGGCACCTGAAAGAAAAGGGGTGCCATGCTGGCATCAGGCCCTTGTTCCATGGTGGGACAGGCCCAGTCTTCAACCCAGGGGTTAACAACAGCCATCCCCCATCTAAGCACCCCTGGCACACATTCACTCACACAAAAAGGCACACACATGCACAGGAGCTCAGGTGCACAGAGGTCTTCAGGAGTTCTTTGGTACAGCATCCATAGCCCTTGGGGAGGGAAGGCTGACAGTCCAGAGCCCCCACCTACTCACTCCTTCATTTTCTGGCCAGACCAGGGTTGAGCTTACCTGGAGAGAGGCTGAGTGCAAATTTGGTCTGGAAGTCACATTCCTTGCTCTGCAGGTAATCATCAGAGACAACCACCACCATCCGGCGGCACCTAGGGGAGAGTGGGTAGGCTGCAGATCCTGTGGCAACTTAGTCCAGCATACCGCCTGGGAATAGCTTCAGGAGGGGCCCACTGTGCCCAGGCTGGACAGTGCACAGCTAGGAGGAGATGCCCAGCATCTGGACCCGTGGGCAGGGCTTCATGCACCCACTCACCCACCCACCCTTGACCTTAGCCAACCTCTTCTCGATGAGCTCACTAGCAATAGACCAGACACAGGTGCCAGGCAGGACATCGCGGTCAGACACACATAACTTCAGTCGATAGTTTGTCTGTTCCAGTTGCCGGATCATCTCCTGCACAAACTGGATGTCGCTGGGGCAATAGCAGATGAAGGCATCGAAACGCTCTGGCATTTGCCCTGGGTGCAGAGCACAGGGTGGTAGTCAGAGCTCCGTGGGAAGGCTTGGGAGGGGTCCAGCCAAGAGTCCCCTGCCTAGGCAACCCTGGGCCTTACACCCTTCCCAAGATGATATTCCTTAGAGAAAGTGCCCTTCCCAGGAGAGGAAAGATTACTGCAACCTCCACCTCTCAGCTTCAAGCGATTCTCCCGCCTCAGCCTCCCTAATGGCTGGGATTAGAGGTGTGAGCCACTACACCCAGTTAAATTTTGTATTTTTAGTAGAGATGGGGTTTTGGCATGTTGCCCGGGTTGGTCTTGAACTCCCGACCTCAGATGATCCACCCACCTCGGCCTCCCAAAGTGTTGGGATTACAGGCATGAGCCACCACACCCGTGAAGATGGGTATCATTTCATGAGAGTCTCACAGCAACCCAGAGGTAGGACTATTATCTCCATTTCTGAGATGAGGAAACTGACATTCAGAAAGATTAAGTGACTTGCCCAAGGTCCCACAGCCCATCTGCTTCCAACACCCATACTCTTAACACCGCACTGTCCTATTCCACCGGTCCCATGGGAACAGTATTGGACCCTTACCCAGGGGGTCGTCAAGTGTGGTGATGCCCGCCAGCTCTGTTGTCCGTGGGACACTGCTGTCGACAGAGGCCACCTGTAAGGGCTTCTCAGCCTCCTCCTGCTGCTGCTTCAAGATATACTTTTGGCAATCCTCCTCTGTGGGGAAGAGAGAGGGTATGGCGGGCTCCCCGGGAGTGCCCACCTCTCTACCCACAGTCAGGATCCCACCCCTGCCCACCTCCTATGGCAGGGTTCTTCTACAGGGCTTCCCCAGCCCACTGGTGCCATCAGCAGCTCAACAGCTCTGAGAAGTTGAGCTCCCACTGGCTCTAACAGACCCAAAGGGATGTCAGTGGTGTTTTGTCTTTCTGGAAGTCCATCAAGGTCAGGTTTGTATCGCTGTCCCTTCCTAGGGATCCTAAGAATGGTATCAAGGTAGGTCTGCTTCTTCTGGGGTCCAGGGCACATGTGAGCAAGGGGCTGAGCGTGCCAGAAAGGCTCGGGAGACTGACCCACTGGCTGTGGTGCAGTGAAGGCAGTGATTCCAACCCAGCAAGGTATGCCTGCCTGTGGGCGGCTGTGCCCAACGCCTATGCGTGTATATTATGTAAGTGCCAGTGGGTAGCAGGAAGGGCTGCACTTCCCCAGGACTTGAGGTTTCTAAGACAGTCCACTGTCAGTCCCCCGCCTGTCCTGTTGCTCTACTTGAAACAGCCCAGACGCCCCCACAGAAGCCTGATTCTAACTCCTGGCCCTACCTGAAAGCCTCTGCCTAAGCTGCTTCCTTCCCATCTCCGCCTCTCCGGACTTTTCTCCAGTCCCTAGCAGGTCCCAGTTATTAAGAAGGAACTGCACCCGCATAGTTCTCCCTCTTCAGGCTTCTCCAGGCCCCCAAGGGGGAAAACAGGGTCTCTTCAGGGGAGACATGCTGAGGCCGGAAAGTCAGCCTCCTCACCCCCCAGGTACGAGGCCAGGAAGGGGATGTCCTCACCAATGCTGGGTCCCAGCTCCAGCAGCACGTCGTCGCGGCCCAGCTTGGTGAGCAGCTCCAGCAGCCGGCCTACCGAGGCACCGGGGCGTCCCTGCCAGGCGTCCAGCAGCCTGCCCGTGGGGTCGGCGTGCGACTCCAGCTGCCGGATCTCCAAGTACTCAAAATCCATCTCCTCTGCCAGCACCGTCCAGTCGGCCGCCACCTGCGTCCGCACGTTCAAGAACAGCGACAGGCGGCGCCGCACTCGCATGTTGAGAGCAGCCAGGGGCAGGGAGGATGTGGAGAAGACGGGGGCCACAGACTCCGCGCGGGGACCTTCTGCAGCCATGGCGGGCTGTCCTGGAGCCTCGGCGCGGACGGGTCGCGTTGTCTGCCAGCGCTTCCTCTTTCTCCTACGGCTCCCGCCCCGCCCCGCGGGCTTTCGCTTTCCGAGAAGCGCCGCCCTGCCCTGCAATCTGGAGCCCCGCGCAGAAATGCGGAGGCGGGGGCGTCCACCTCCACCCTGGCGGTCTCGGGGGGGCGGGGAGGCAGGGGGAGGTTGGGAAGTCGGCATCTGCCTTTTGAGAGCCGGAGAGGTCCGCGGCGCCGCCTCGAGGTCTGGTGGTGCTGGTAGTAGGTGGGCGGCGGAGTGAGGTCGGCCTTTCGGGGGTTGTAGGAGACGGGACTTGCTATTTGGGATCTGGAGTCACAATTCTTCCACTGGGCTTCTGAGGGGTTCATACGGTCCTGCCCTCGAGGATGGCGAGGAGGAAGGCACCAGCTCCCCCCTCCGCTGTCTCTGGGTAACACGCAATCCTGCCGGTAGGGGTACGGAGAGACCCCTGCTATGCACGCCAGGGGGAGTGGGAAAGGGACACCTCTGGAGCCCGAGGCAACCTCGAAACGGTTGGGGGCGTCGTGACGCTAGGCTGGGAAACACAAGGCGCCCTGTGCTTTAGTGCCTGTGGGAAGCCCAGCGCTGCTCTCCAGGATCTCAGGTAAAGACACGGCCCGGCTACTGGGAGTCAAGGGCGCACGTGACCTTGCTCTTTCGGGTTAAGGTCACAATCCAGACCTGGGGAGCCCCGATTGATTCATTTGCTCATTCAACAAGTATTTATCGATCATCTATTAAGTGCCAAGCGAGTCGCAGTTTCCCGGATACCTCTTTGCCTTGCTGGAGATCCCAGCCTAGCACGGGAAATGGGCACTAATAAAATCATTCCAACTGGGTGTCAAACTGGTAAAAGTGTGAGATGTTCCTTCTCCAGTTAGAGAGCTTGTCACCCCCCAGCCCCTCTGTGAAATCTGTTCTCCCGGCCAGCCCGAAAGCCCAAATTCCCGGTCTTCTCGAAAGAATGAGAAAGCCCAGCCACGTCGGAGTAGGACTCGGGCGTCTCGGAAGTATTTAGGTCCCCCAGCTTGGGTACTGGGACCGCAGGGATAGCAGAGCCGACCAGGAAGTGGGTAGAGGACTTGGAGGCCCGGCTTCCATCTCCATCCCAAGCAGGAAGCGGTCCTGGCGGTCCAGCCGTCCGTTGGGAGGCGGGCAGGGGGCAGGGCTTTGGGGATCCGGTCTCGGGTTTGGCTACAAAAGGTGGAAAGGCTTCCGGTCTGCTTTTCTGGGCGGGGATTCATAGAGGTCCGCCATCTGGTTGGCTGCGGTATGTTAAGGTAGGCGGGGCATTTGAGTGGAAAGCTCGTCTGGGCGGTGACTGCTAGCCCTCCGATAGAGGGCTCGGTAGGCGGTGGCGGGAGAGGCGGGGCCCCAGGCTGACTCACCTTGTGGTTGGCTGAGGCGGAAGGTGGGCGGGACTTTTGTTTGCTTGGCTGTTTAGGCCGTGGGGGCTGAGGTGTGGTTCTGCGCGTGCGCAGGCAGTCGTCTGTTGACTCCGGCGGTCAGTTCTGCAGAGTGGAGCTGCGCAATGCGGAGGCTGTCGGTAGTGCTGGGCCACCTGGCTGGCAAGCCCGATCCCGGCTGGACGCTGCAGGCGGCGCCTTGCGCGACCGGCGCCCCGCAGGCCTCGGCCGCGGACGTGGTGGTGGTGCACGGGCGGCGCACCGCCATCTGCCGGGCGGGCCGCGGCGGCTTCAAGGTGAGGCCCGAGGGTCTGGGCGCCCGGTTTGGGAAGACGTCGGCGCGGCCTGGGGTCCCGCTCGTATGTTTGGATCCCCTGGATGCCGGAGGCAGCTCCGCACCCAGCTGTGGTCGCTTTGTCTCCCTGGAGTGGGTATGGGGGAGTGGGGGTCACCGCAGCTGCTCCTCCCGCTGCAGGACACCACCCCCGACGAGCTTCTCTCGGCTGTCATGACCGCGGTTCTCCAGGACGTGAATCTGCGGCCGGAACAGCTGGGGGACATCTGTGTCGGTGAGCGCACCAGCCAGGCCCTGCGCTGGGCCCTCCCCGTTCTTCGTTTGTCCAGAGCCCTCCGCACCTCCCCACCCCGAGTTTTCACTGGGGGAACCTCCATGGCCTTGACCTTCAGTCCAGCCCTCTGTTCTACCGCTCACCTTGAGATATAGCAACAGGATATGGCGAGAGTCTTATCCGGTAGATGCCACCCCTAGGTCGGCAGTCCTCTGGGGTGACAGCAGGGCTCAGAGGAGGACACCTGGGGACATGTGCATTTTCAGAAACTCCCATGTCACTTTTAAAGATAGGCAACCTGTCCATCTGTGCTGATTTGGAAAAGCCGGGTGCATGGGCAAGTGAGCGTGGGACCCCTGGGGACAGGAGCTGGTGGAAGACCAGGACAAGCTGTTGTATGGCTTGCTCTCCCTGCTCCAAACCCCGGTGTTCCAGAGCTGCCAAGGGCTAGCGTTCCCGAAGAAAGAACTGGAACGTCTCATCTCCGGTATTCACAGCTATGCCTTAGTGCCCAGAATACCACACCTGGCACTGAATGGAAGTTTGTTGTCCACAGGAAATGTGCTGCAGCCCGGGGCCGGGGCAATCATGGCCCGAATCGCCCAGTTTCTGAGGTAAACTTTTCTAGTTGTAGCCATGGGTTGGCCATTTTGACACTTTAATGGGCCCAGGGAACTCGGCCCGCAGGTTGGGGAGGATCAGGTTGGACGCCAGAATGAGGCAACCAGAGTCCTTGGCTCCCTCCCCTTGTGGACTCACCTCTCCGCTACTCTGAAGAGAGGGTGAGCCCTTCAGGTGCTGAGCCCGGGTGCACAAGGCCTTTGACACTGGAGCAAAAGTTCTCTGTGGCTTGATTTTTAGCCAAAAGGTTGTTGCTTGCCTTTTCTAAGTGTGGATTCTGTTCCCATTTGTCAGGTGAGTAACCAAGTAAGCATGCTGAAAAGTGACTTTCAGCCTTTTTACTAGTTGAGCTGGGAACTCCAGTCATAACGTCATAACCCACTAGCAGACCCTTTGGGGTAGGGCAGAACCATGGGGAAGAGGGACGCCCAGGAGGAGACCTGGTAAACTTCCCTTTACGCACCTGCAGGGGAGAGAGTGCTTAATTATTTTCATGCATAGCTTTAAGACCTGCTCAGCTTTGTACTTCCAGGTACATGGAGAAGAATAAATAGGAACATGAGCTAGTGAAGGAACAGGAAAACAAAAACCCTGTAGGAACCGGGAGAGATTTACGCTGCCCAGCCTGTAGTTCAAGGCCCCTGCAATCCGGCTCCAGACTTACCTTCCAGCTTCATCTCCCAGCTGCTTACTCACCTTGACTTTTCTTCGTTCAGCTGGCCTGTCGGCCTGCTGTCCTCCCTGATACGGTCATTCTCTCTCCTTGAAGTGCTAGCCCTACCTCCTCTTTCTGCCCTAGCTAAACCTTGCCCAAACATAGTCTTACCATTTTGACTTGACGTATCCAGGCTCTCAGGCTGAAAATGAGAGCTCCTTCCAATCCGGTAGTAGCTAGCCATGTGCTTCCTTGCGATGCGGTTTGCCCTCTTGCCCTATTATTTCAGTCTCTGCTAGTGGATTCATTTTCTGTGTGTTGCTTGGGCATCCTCCAGGGCACAGTGTTATGTGCATCTCAGCATCCCTCAGGTGGTGCCTTGTGCTAAGTAGGTACTTAGCGAACACCTGGTGGGTTGAGTGAAGAAATGGTAACTACCTACTAGGCAGTTAAGGGACCCGGGAGGCATCACACAGGCTGCACAGGAGGTGATCCGCCTGAGAGTCTCTGTAGAGCCTGGCCTGGACACCAGATCAGAGGTTCCCAGCTCTGGCTGCACACCGCAATCACCAGGGTGCTTCCACCCCCTCAGGTTCTGAGTCTGTGGGTCTGAGGAGGTCTGGAAATTTCCCTAGGGCTTTGTGCTGTTGGCCAAGGCAGGTTACATCAGGAGGGGAAGCCCTGCTAGCTTCCAGGGCTAAGACCGGTGTGAGAGTCTGGAGAACACACCAGAGTGATAGATGTTAGAACACATGATGCCCGTCAGAGTTCTCCGTCTAGGTGGGGTCAGGTTTTCAGGAGTCTGTGGGAACACGCGGGCTTAGCTGTACGATTACTGGTAAGCTGAGGGTCCCTGGCCTCAGACTTTAGACATTGCTGTTGCTCTGGTGCTCTGTCCCAGCAACAGGATCTTTTCTCTGTTCTTTGGGGGAAACAGAGATACATGGCTTTCATTTCCGAATCTTCAGAGGGAGAGAGAGAAGGGCCAGACATGCTTCCCTTCCCTTGGGCTGCGCTTGGTCTTTGATGGAAGATACTCACAGGAATGGAAGGGAATGTGCTTATGGGGCCCTGGGGAGCAAGAGCCTGCGCAGATGGGGTCTGCCCAGTAGCTGCCCACCCTCATTCCATGGATCTGGCCTGGCATGGAGGCAGGGCTGCTGGCCTCCATGTTCCCCTGCCCTTTACATCGCTTGAGGGGGCAGGTAGAGGCACAGGACTGCTTTCCATGAGAGGCCGGCATGCAAGAGGGGGCTGATTCTACTGTCTCACCTTCTGTTTCAGTGACATCCCGGAGACTGTGCCTCTGTCCACTGTCAATAGACAGTGCTCGTCGGGGCTCCAGGCAGTGGCCAACATAGCTGGTAAGTGGACTGGGTAGGTGCCTTGGTCCTGGCCTGTGGGTTTGGGTCAGCAAAGTTGCTGTCTGCTGGGCAAGCAATAAGGATTTCTGAGAGGACTCTAACCACAGAAAGAGTGCAGGAGTGCCCCTACCACTGCCCCAAGCCTTTTCTCAACACTCCTGGGTCTTCCGTTTCTGAGGCTGGGGCTGAGTCCCATCTAGAGGCCAGGTGGGGAAGAGGCTCCACTGCTTCCGGAACAGGTAGACTCTGGCAAAGGATGTTTATGAAATGCTTTTGTTGCAGGTGGCATCAGAAATGGGTCTTATGACATTGGCATGGCCTGTGGGTAAGAATTTTTTTCTGCCGGAGCTTATTAACCAACTTGTGACAATAAAACTAATTTTCATCTCTTGAGTTCTCAGAGGCCATGATTTCGGGATTGCCCCATCCCCTTTAGGCAGCTGGTCAGGAGTGGATTCTCACAAATGCAGCTTGGGAGTGGCTCCCAACTCTGGCTGCTCAGGAATCACTCACACCTCTCAGCACTAGCAGGGGAGGGCGGTTGGCCTCTAAAAGCTTACTTTCTTGGAACTCTTTCAGGCTGGAATATGTGGGAAAACATTTTGAGAAAATACAGCACTGGGGTCTCCTTTTGTAGCCCTTGTGGATTCACGGTGCTGCTGAGAGAGAAGTTGCAGTTTGGGCTCTCTAAAGCCAGGGCCAGCCGCCTACTGTATCACTAGTTTGTTCATTTTACTAGGCTGTCTGTCCTCTTGTCTCCCACCCTCATACCAGTGTGGAAACTTCCAGCTGCGTATGGGCTATGAGGGACAAGATCAGATTTGTGGTGGTTTGGTCACTGTCACCTCCTCCTAGACTGTGACTCCATCATTGGCTGCAGTGAATGGAGCTGCAGAAGTTGTGTTTGGCAGTGCCTCCAGGGAAGGGCAGGGCACTGGGACCCAGGCTTGGGTGGGCATCTGGTACTGGGAGGGCAGGGGAGTAAGGGCTTTGGCAGGCTGGGGGAGGCAAGCAGCCCCAGGGTTCTGACATGCCCCCACTGCCTTTCACATCCTCTTTAAAGTATTTCTTGAGAGGAAGCATTGCTGGCCCCTGTCCCAGGGCCGTGGCATCTGGCACTGAGTTGTACTGACCGATGTCTGCAGCTGTAAATAAAGCCAAAGACCACTCTACAAGGACTTTGGCTGGGCAAGGGCCACTGCCCTTTGATTTCTCTCTATCTGCCCGGGTGAGAGGTGGTGTGGATAACTTGAGAAGGGCTGGAGCCTTTATGAGTATCTTACAGGGTATCTGATTCCCAAGCAGGTCAAGGACCGTGGTACTAGGATATTAAGATCTGGGCCAGGCCTGACACCTACATCCCAGGCGGACTGTTCCCCAGAGGCTTTGATCAGCAAGTATATAGCACAGGGCATTCTAGCTGGAAGTGGGCTCTGGGGCCAGACTACCTAAATGTGGATCCAGGCTGGGTGACCATGGACAAGTTATACAGTCTCTAGACCTCGGTCTGCTGGTCTATAAAAGGGGGATACCTAGCTCAGCTCTGTTGAAGTTGATGGGAAGATTATGGAGTAATAGCAACAGCTTACATGATGGAGTATTTGTCATGTGACTGACACTGACGCACTCTAATATCTGAAGAGTTCAGAATAGTGCTGGGCATGTGAAAAGCACTCAGCCAAGGTTATCTGTTATCATCCTTGAGGCATCAGGGTCCCCCATCTCCTCAAAGCCCTTTTGGACCACACTACACCACTTCCTTCCTCTCAGCTTGCAGCACTTCCTTATCGATGTAGGTCTGATCACCCTTTGAGCTCCGCTTTGTGATTACTTTTAAATTGTCTCTTCTCCCCTCTGAATTTGTGGGCCCTGAGGGTAGGCTCGGGCTTGTGGATGTGTTTCCTCTTCTGTGGCTGACACGGGAAGGCGTTGCTCTGGACTTGCCAGTTGGCTGACTGAGCAGTTGTATAGGGAAGCATAGCCCTGCCCCAGGAGTGTTTATTGTGCAGTGCTTTGTGCTGGGGTCGGGGGTGAAGTGGAGACAGGGCTCAGTAGTGCCATACTCGCAGCTGGGCCTGGCTGGCCAGGTGCCCTGCCTGTGGCTCCCAGAGGCCCACTGGACTTCCTAGGGCTCCCTGGCTATTTCCTAGCACTTGCCAAGTGTACAGCTGTTCCTGGAGGAGTCCTGCCAGGGCCCAGTTCACCTTACCTTCTCCTCCTCTTCCTCCTCCCCAGGGTGGAGTCCATGTCCTTGGCTGACAGAGGGAACCCTGGAAATATTACTTCGCGCTTGATGGAGAAGGAGAAGGCCAGAGATTGCCTGATTCCTATGGGGTGAGCGCTCCCATAGCTCTGTGTGCTGTGCCCTCTGCCTGGAGCAGGGGGCGGAAGAACTTTATCATCTTTGTGGCTGGCGGTGCCAAGCCTTGGCCTCCTTCCTTTGGCCATGGTCTGCTCTGCAGGAACTTTGGGGATGAGAGTTGAAGCCGCCCTTGACTTCCCTTTCCTGAGGCCCCCAGGTCCTCTCTGTGCCCCTGAGTTTCCAAACATTGCCCATTTTGTCACCACACTGAAGTGCTCAGTCATAGGAAGGACAATGGTAGCTCCACTGCAAAGCCTTGGGGGCCTAGAAAGTTGAGAAGGCAGGGGGAGGCTTTGATTACTGAACGTGCCGGTGGGGGAATTGGGCCTTGTCAGGTGCAAAATAAAAAGTATGTGGCATTTGTATGGAACAACTTAGCTTCTCTGGGCCATCCCCAGAGTTTGTGGGCCAGGAGTCCTGGATCCACGAGATAGCTGAGGAGACGGAGGCTTGGAGGGCGCAGTGCCGTGGCTTCACACACCGCATCTCCAAGGGAGGCCTGTAAAGCCGGAAGCCCAGGCCGGAAAGCCTAGCTGTTGCTCTCGGTTCTCAGGATAAGCATAGGTCCCAGCCAAGGTGACCAGAAAGCCTAGGTTTGGCCTTTCTAGAGGAGGTTTGGGAGTCCTCACCTCCCCATGTTGCAGCAGTTTTCCTTGAGGCCCAGGAGAAGCTGGCCAGGAGTGGCCTGTTAGTGCCCCACCCAGACCCTCCCCGCTCCTTGTCTCCCCTGCTCTGACGCAGCTTACCCAGGGAACAAACTATTCTGCAGCTGCCCCATGCAGGGGGCAGCTTCTGTCCGAGAGAGGGTCTTTTTGGTGTATGACCTTCTCAGGATCTGGCCAGCATTGCTGACTTTCCTATCTGAGTCTTTATATCCACATCCTGAGTCATCACCACTGCCTGTGGCATGGACTGGCCTTTCCGTCCTCTCCTGCCTACAGCCTTGGGAACTCAAGAGTTCCAAGCACAGCTCTGCAGCCTGGTCCATTCCTCTAGGCTGT